GACCTGTGTTCGAAAGTAAACGGCTATCTCTCCGAACTTTCTCGCTTCTTCACTGCAAAGTGTCTAGCCCTCTCCCCTACGAAATCCTCCGCGACCCTGTTCACAACCTGGACGAAGGAGGTCAGGCTACCGCTGGGGATTCACGTCGATGACACACCAATTCCGACGGTGAATAACCCCAAAATACTCGGAGTAACATTCGACAGCCTGCTCTCCTTCTCTGCGCACGCAACCGCTATTGTCAATAAAGTACAGAGCCGCAACAAAGTCCTCAAGTCGCTAGCTGGCAGTACTTGGGGCAAAGACAAAGAAACGTTGCTGGCAACATACAAGGCAATAGGCCGGCCGGTTTTAAACTACGCAGCACCAGTGTGGTCGCCGGGGACTAGTAGGACGCAGTGGACGAAGCTACAGACGGTACAAAATACAGCACTCAGGACAGCGACTGGATGCCTCCTGATGGCACCAGAACACCACCTCCACGACGAGGCAAAAATGCTCCCAATTAGGGAGCACAACACGATGATCTGCAAGCAGTTTCTTGCTGGGAGCCACAGATGTGGCCACCCAAATAGACAGCTGCTTGCAGAGGAGCCCTCGCCGAGGCACGTCAGGAGGCATCTATATGAACTGACGGACGAAGTCCAGAGGTTCATTAAACAACCTCTGGACCCGTCAGCTCACAGACAGGCCCTGCACGGCATTCACAGGGACGCAGTCTCGAGTTATATAGACTCAAGACCTGTGAATGCCGTTGTAGGCACACAAACACCGGACATTGACGCGACGGAGCTCCATCTGCCTCGGGAGACCAGGACAACTATAGCCCAACTTCGCTCTGGCTACTGCAGCAGGCTAAATTCCTACCTGAGTAGGTTAAATGCGGATATGCTGAACGAATANTGAATGCCGTTGTAGGCACACAAACACCGGACATTGACGCGACGGAGCTCCATCTGCCTCGGGAGACCAGGACAACTATAGCCCAACTTCGCTCTGGCTACTGCAGCAGGCTTAATTCCTACCTGAGTAGGTTAAATGCGGATATGCCGAACGAATATCCGGCATGCGGAGAGACCCCCCACGACTCGAAACATCTCTTCGCAAGCCCGGAAAACCCCACAACCCTAACGGCGTCGTCCCCATAGACCGACCCCATAGAGGCTGCACGCTTCTTGGGGCTGCCGTTAGTGGAACTTGACGACAACGACTGAGATATTAGCCTATCTGGGCGGGGTTGTTGAAGCCGCTACAACAACAACAACAACAACGGCGCCGCCTTTGTTCGCTGCACCGTGCTATTCCTGTTGCAAACATGGGTTGCCTTGTGCTCTTTTTCACAAAAAACTTTAGAAAACCGTATAGAAAGCGCAGAAAATTTCTTAATAACTGCATTCTGCCTCAAGATAATTTTACACAAGAAAATTCTTAGCCATTTCATGCACGTCATTTTGTATGGAGTTTCTCCTTTTCTTGAGAGCTGCATACTGGCTTTAGTGGTCAAAGTATCCGAAAATGGAACCGGTAAATGGACAAAAATCCGCATTTCATCCACCAATCATCCATTTTCGGATTTTTTCTGGCTTGGAAGCGTAAAAATTGTAGTGCTCAATTTGGTTGCATTTTCAAAACATTTTTTTCCTTCCAAAAGCTTCATCAAACCAACCAAAGTACCAATGGAAAGTGAAGCTACCAATTTTGGTATAAATGGACCAAAACGGCAGCGCTGATTATAATCCTTACTACGCAGAATTCTCCTTCTGTGTTGCCAGAGAAGGGGGCAGATCTTCCTTTGCGTAGGTGGCCTTCGCCGGGCTTAGGTATCATAACACTTACAACGCAGAATTCTCCTTTCTGTGTTACCGGAGAAGAGGAGCCCAACTTCTCTCTGCCTAGGCGGCCTTCGGCTGCACTTAGGAATTATAATTCTTACTACGCATAATTATCATTTCTGTGTTGCCGGAGAAGAGGTCCTCCCTGAATAAACTACAATAGGTGTAAGGTTGACACTTGCCCGTAAAATCATTAAATTTTTTATTATCACTGAATTCTTAATAATCAAAAGCAGATCATAATAAAATGGCTGCGTTTCTTTATGCATTCCGGATAATTTTATTTCACAGCCGGAATAAACAGAATGTGTTTGAAATATACGTTAACATATCATCAGGAACGTTCTAAGGAATAAGTAAACAAAAAAGTTTATTCAAAACGCTCAGAATGAATAAAGAAATGCAGCCAATAAAATATATTTATAAATACTGTACGTTAACAAATATTTTTCGTTTTTTTTTTTAATTTTGGGCCTTAAAGTATGAAAAATAATGTTACGATTATCCTTGAACCCTCGTCCGGATTTCCCAAAGCTTCCGGCTCGTATCGCTGGATTGTTAAATAAAGGCTAACGATGACCAAATGGTAGTACAATTAACTTTATTGTACAACAAACAATTTTACAATACTTGCTAATACAGTAAAAGCACTACAATACTTGTTAAAGCAATTACAACGCGTTATTGAACTTGTTAACACAATTAAACTTATAGCTTGCTTATTCGCAACTCGCTTCTCTGCTCACTTTACTTGTAGCTTGCTGACTTGTAACTAACACACATCGCTGTGGCGGCGCCCTTATATACCTGCGCTGGCACTTATGGCAACTCTAGAACATTCTGAAGTTTATCGCTCATTCTCTTTCTCTCGCTGTTCGCAGTGTTCATCCAACTTGACGTTTCTCTTTGTGGAACATTCTACGCCATTCCTCGAACATTTTGCCTATTTCTCGTTGTTCGCTTCGCGTTGCCGCAGTATTCGCCACAATAATATAAATTATGTAATTTCTTTTTATCATATTTATTTTGGAACATTACTTTTTTAATCGGTTATGTAGTTTATAAGATATTAATATTAAAAAAAAAAATTACTTTCAACAAGATCTTTAAAACTAGAAGGTCCTGGAACCTGAAAGCGGGTATATTTGAAAAGCCGCGAGACCAGCTTTCCAGTGCCATAGTAAAAATTTGTCGCCCCGTTTATCGCAATCTCCCCGCGATATGTACCAAATGTTGGCGTTTTACTGTAAAAGACAAGGCGAATTTATACAAGGTGGTGTTGATGGCGAACTTAAGGCCGGTCCACATNACTTCTTAATGTCAAAATGATGTGTTTGTTGTAATATGAATTCGCCTTGTTTAAACAAAGACATCATTTTGACACTGGGAAGTACCGCGGCGAAAATCTTAATTCGCCATCAACACCACCTCATGAACGAAAGACACAAGATCACGCCTTCCCGAAAGAAAGAAAAAAGTTATTTTCTAGCTGTTGAAATCTCGACGCCATATTTGTTGTAAGAAGTAAACATCGAAGAGAACAAAAAAAACCGCGTAATTGTTGAACGCATGAATAATCATTTTTATTATGCAAATTCTTCTATAAACCATGTAGCTGTGTTAAATTATTCTTTACCTTATGTGTGCACACGTTGTCACAAGCGAAAATTAAGAAAATTGCAGTATAAAGCCACGATTGAGAGAATACAAAGGTTGCGCCGATCTCGGACCGCTATTCCTCTCTTAACGAATTTGACAGAATCGTTGTTTGCATGACGTCACTGCCATCCCTAAATTGGCGCGTCAAGCGCCAAACAACTGTCAAAAATCCTCATGCCCATACAATTTGTATGAAGCATCCCACAATAACGCGGCGCTAACGCCGAGCAAATGGAATTTTCATTTTTGACAGGGCGTTACGTGTTGGAGTTGGATGCGGAAGACGGAAAGAAAGAGAAAGGTCAAAAAAGTGAAAGAGGAAACGAGAATAAAAACGAGAGGATCTGAGAAAACGTCAAAAATTACGACGCGTTGATTTGGGGATAGCGCGCGCTGACACTCGTCGACAATGGATGACGCAACGCTTAGCGCTCCAATTTAGGGACGGCAGTCACTCTTGTGCAACTTGTTTACGTTTTCCTTGCTACATTTTTTCTTCTTCTTCCATTCTTGCTCACGTTTTGGCATTTCTCTCTCGCAATTGCGCCAGTGTGACGTCACACAAAAGTTATTCTCAAAAATCCTCTCTGATCGGCGCAATCTTGTATTCTATCATTCTTGGTATAAAGCCACCACCAAATTGTAAACAACGAACAAATGTAAACAAACGGCTAATGTCAGAGTTGCCCAACTTTTTTCGTAAATGCGATTATAACGGGCTACTAAGATGAAGGCGTGATCTTGTATTTTTGGTTCATGACACCACCTTGTATAAATTCGCCTTAGGCTTTCTGCACATTGGTCGTCCAAGCATAGTTGCTTCATCGTCACAATCATGATGCAACGATTACATGACGACTACACTTTCGCACACTCGGTCGTGACATTTCAATTCATTTGGCGTCTAAAAATTCACTTGGAGCAGGTATTTTCTGTTTTTCTGGTTGATATTTTTGCGAAATATTTACAAAAACCTGCAATTTTTAAAATATAGACTGTGCTGCAACAATTCTAGATATAATTTTTCATTATTATCTCTTTTTTTCTTTTCCTGAAATGTGTTTTGTGCATGCACAAAGAGACTTTTTACAATTTCGTCATATTTTATAGTTAAAACGCTCACATTTATTGAATTTTAATGCAGTTATCCATTTTGTAATAACTTCCACAGATTTTATGCAAAAAATATTAATTTTTATGCAATTTTAATGCAAATATTAACTTTTTCACTAATTTTTCCCCATAAAATGTAAACAAACAATGCGTGCACAACGATTAGCAAACGACAGTGCCGTACTTATCCGTCTCTGCATCTTCTACGATTTGCCGATAACTAGCCGATAACGACAAGTGTGCAGATCTCCTTTGAAATGCATATGCTCGGCTCAAAATTTCAGGGCGAGACGATAACGCAACTGTGATTGGACGACAAGTGTGCAGATAGCCTTAATAAAAGAGATGTTGCGCGCATAAAAATCGCACATATCGAAACAAGGCAGTAAACGCGCCGTCAAACGCTCTTATTTTATTATGGCTGTTACTTCGAACCGAGAACGCTAAATAAAATAAAACAAAAAAGATAGATTTTCTATGCACGTGCCGCAAAGAACGTCACTACAAAAAGGAATAAAGGAAAATATTTCGGTTGTCGGGGTGCCCCCTTGTTGTTGAATTTTACTTAAAATCTTGTAAAAGGACCAAATTTCTGCAATCATGACTGCTAAGGTACCTCCTCTTACCTACAAAGTCGTTGCTGAGTGTTCTGTGACGAAAGCACGATCTGGCCTGATGACGCTACGCCATGGAGAAGTTAATACGCCAGTTTTCATGCCAGTGGGCACCCAAGTAAGATCAATACCTTTCCTCTTTATCTAAAGGTTTTATTGCACCTTTATTATATTTAGGGCACGCTGAAAGGTCTGCTACCGGATCAGCTTATTGAGCTTAACTGCCAGATACTTCTGGGAAACACCTACCATTTAGGCATGCGACCTGGCGTTGAAACGTTAAAAAAAGCCGGAGGATTGCATAAATTTATGGGATGGCCGAGAGGTATTCTCACTGATTCGGGAGGCTTTCAAATGGTTTCTTTACTCAAATTGGCAAAAATAGACGAAAATGGCGTAAACTTTTGTTCACCCTTTGATAACAGTGAGTGTATGCTAACACCCGAACACTCAATACAGATTCAGAACACTATTGGTGCCGATATAATGATGCAGTTGGATGATGTAGTGAAGACAACTACGGTTGGACCACGCGTTGAAGAGGCTATGCATCGTACTATTCGTTGGTTGGATCGATGTATATCTGCACATTCGCGTGACGATGATCAAAGCCTATTTCCCATCGTGCAGGGTGCATTGGATGCTGATTTGCGTAGACAGTGTGCTGACGAACTTATAAAGAGAGATGTTCGCGGCTACGCTGTTGGTGGTCTTAGTGGCGGAGAAAGCAAGCATGAGTTTTGGCGTACAGTTAACGTCTGCACAGATTTATTACCTAAGGACAAGCCAAGATACTTAATGGGCGTAGGGTTTGCAGCTGACTTGGTGGTATGTGTTGCACTCGGTATTGATATGTTTGACTGCGTTTTTCCTACTAGAACGGCGCGTTTCGGCTGTGCACTAGTAAATGCAGGACAACTTAATTTAAAAAATAAAAAGTATGAACACGATATGCGTCCCATAGACGAACAGTGTGAATGCAGCACATGTCGTCGATATACACGTTCATACCTACATCATATTGCCGCCATCGAATCGGTTTCATGTAGTTTGTTAAGTATACATAACGTGGCATATCAATTGAGGTTGATGAGGCATATGAGAGACGCAATAGAACGTGATCAATTTCCGCAATTTATCTGTGATTTTATGGCTATACACTTTGATGGCGAACCAGTTCCGCTTTGGATAACGGAAGCTTTACAAGCGGTCAATGTGGAATTGCCGCCGAAGGAACAAAAAACAACTCAACCAGAGGCCTAACAGTATTTAAGATTTATTATTCGATTAAATAGTTTATAGAAAAAATATATATTGAAATAGATGCAGCAAACAAGTACAACAGATAGAAGCTATTATATACATACATATAATTCCAAATAATAACCAAAAATGATTTACCGACAAAAATATCCCTATATTATTTCCTTGCCTTAGTAGATGATGCTTTGCTTGTTGTTTTCTTACTAGCAGCACTGCTTCCAGTTTTGCCCTTTGATGTGCCAGCCTTTGCTTTCGAAGATGATGCAGTTGCACTGCTTTTCTTCGCCTGTGGAGTGATTGTAAGTATTTAATTTAAGAAAGACAATTTAAAGCAAATTTTACCTTAATCAAACCATCATTTTCTATTTTATCATCTTCTTCATCTGAGGCTGCCGCATTACCTTCCTCTTCACCCTCAATAGTATACAACTCATTTTCTTCGCTTGCTTCAGCTTTCTTTTTCTTTACACCTGCAGTCACTGAATACGAATATGCTAAAACCTCTTTATTATATGCGCGTGTTAGAGCTGCCTTCACACGGCCGTCTACCGCGTCCATTAAACCCTTCTTGCCAGGCCATGCAGTAAGTTCGATCAAAGAGTCGATATCTTCGCGTAAGAGATGATATTCTTTTAGAACATCCAGTGAATCTTTAACGCCTTCCATTCCCTTATCTTTTAAAGGGCGCACAATTTTCGCCAGAAGGAAAGGGGCGTAGTCAAGTCGAATGGACTGACGTGAGGCAGAAGTACGTAATCGGGTGTGATCGTGAATCTCTTGAGCCAAACGATTTCGCTTATTGGTTCGCGAATATTTACCTAACCAACCAGGGAAATTTATTTGTCCCGTGAAGTGGCCACTCATATACTCTCCTGGCATTACTGAACTAAACACGGCCTGTGTTGGCAGCAGCGACCAAGCAGAATCGGAGCGTATTCGTTTATCCACTAAGTCACCCAAACTTAAGGCGTCTGCAGTAAGAGCAACCTTAGCAGGTACCTCAGACCTAAAAGGGAGGGATGAGGGTTCAATGGGTGTACTATGTAAACAAGCGTTCGAGTAAATTAAGACACTGCGACACTAAGAATAATTAATCACTCACTTGGAACCTACGGGGGACACCTGTAAGTAATTCTGCTGCACGAACAATGGTCCCAAGCTGTAATCTTGGAAAAACAAGTCGCATTTGTCGTTAAGTGTCATATGTTTATGTTCTTCGGCGGAGAATACTTTGCGCACCACCTCCCAAGGACCCTGCGCGGAAAAGTTAGTGTACGTTTTACACAATCATGTTGCATTATTCGATAATAAATATTGCTTACCATTTTCAAATCTTTCTCTGCGGTTTTGCATGCACTTTTAGTACTGTTAGATGGTAAATTCTTTCCAGCGCTTAACAACGAAATATGATTTATAGATTGGCGTATATCATTATTAGTTGCTTCTATTATTTCATTTACTTTATCGGGATCAATTTCGAAACCCTCCCTACAACAAATACTCAAAATACGTCCCTTAATTTGTTGAGTTCGTGGCTTGCTGAAACGCAGATCGTAGCAATAGTTAACTAAGGACCGCATTTTTTGATGGTTGCGATCATTACACATGCAAATTATCGGCACGGAGGAATCTTTTATAAGTGCAATTAGTTCCTGTATGCCCCCGCGGTCTTCATTGCCCGCCATGCCATCAACTTCGTCCATAATAAGTACATGCTTTTTTGTAACCTCTTTGCCTTGACCATGAAAATAACCGTAAAGGGATTTGTTTGAGAGTAGCTCTGCTACTTCCTCCTTTAGAAGACGCTTGCTACGCGTATCCGACGCATTGAATTCAACGGTGTCAAAGCCTAATTCCTTGCAGACTAGGATAGCTGTGGTTGTCTTGCCAATACCTGGTGGACCTGATAACAATGCTGCTTTATAAAAACTACCATCGTCATTTTTGGCCCATGGATTAGGTTTCTGTAGTTTCTTTTTGCCATCATGGTTAATGTACCACTTCGAGAGCCAATTAGTCAACCTTTAATGATAAATAATTATAAGTACCAAAAATTATGTTTTTTGTGTAGTTGCTTTTTCACTTTGATATATGTACATATATTTACTTACTTGGACACATTGCTCGTCGGTCCGAATTGACCAACGATTTCTTTTACACTAGTTGGTTTATATTTATCTACCCACTGAAGATTTGCGTCATCTACTTTCTGTTTGAATTGGACATTACATTCAGTTTCTTGATTATGTTCTTTTTTTTCTATTTTCATAACATTCTCCACTTTGGGCGATTTTTTCGGTTTTCGATTTTTTTCAGGAGGCGTTGGCTTCAATTCTTCTTGGACTTTGAGTTTTTGTTTATTAGGATTTTTTAAATCTGTTGATTCTACTTTTATGTTATCCGGACTAATGTCATTTTTCGTTTCTTTGTCTGAAACATCACCTGACTTTTCTCGAATCAAGTTGAACAGTCCATCCTCACTTATCACATTCACACCAAACTCTTCTGCCTGCACAAGCTTTTTGGGCCCAGCTTCCTCTCCGACAATTAAATAGTTAAGCCTTTTTCCTACAGTGGTACTCATTTTTCCTCCAAGTTCCTTTATTATTGACGCGGCCTCGTCTCGTTCCAGAGATTCTAATACCCCAGTGACTAAAAATGTTAGTCCCGCTAAGCAATTCGGTTTACCCTTGAAATGTATAATATACCGTGCTACTAACCATTAACAGATAAATCGAAGTATTAATAGAAATACCTTTGGAACCTCCTTTGATCCAGGATTTATAACACTTGCTCGATTTTTATATTTCTGGTAGAGTATGGCTGATAAGCGTTTACGTTCATGACGCTCCTCATCGGACAACACACCTTTAATTTAAGATTACAAGTTTAAACGTGATTCATATTTAATAAAAATAACCTAACCGACATTTTTTTAGTATTTTCTTTTTGATGCAGACCTATTTCTAGAGCATCTAGATGCATTTCTGCATCAAAAAGAAAATTTTGAAAATAATATTTTGGCGGTTAGAGCTCGAAATGTTGGCTTACTGCTTTCCAGGTCTTCCGAGAGTTGTTTCTTAGCCTTCGGCGTGCTCTTATCCTTTTTATTTTCAGTTTTAGGCGTGGCTTCTAATTTCTTCGGCTTATCATCTATATGCTCCTTTTCTTTTTTGGGCTCTTTTGTTTTATCGATATTCTTTTCCCGTTTTTCCTCTTTTTTAGGTGTGTGTTTTGCCCTCGATGGACTTTTGCGCGGTGTTTTTGACTTTGAACGCCGATCTTCTCGCCTTCCGTTTGTATTTTTTTCGACTTGCGCACTTACTTCTAGATCAACTTCCATTAGACTCTTATCGATTTCCTCATCATCCAATTCAATGACAGCTGCTATTTTTGGAGGTGGCAGCTTTTTAGCCTCTACACGAAGAGTTTCCCCTCCAAAAACTGAATTGGGGTCGATTGGCTTTAGCTTTTTAGGAGATTGGTTTTTCAATTTTGAAAGTGATGGTTTCTTATTGACGTGAGTTTTTCTTTCACGCGGCAACTTCTCTTCAACGCGCTTCTTTTTGCTGGCAGGCGTTTTTGTAGGCGCCTTTGGGCTTTCTGGAACCTCATCTTCGTCACTGGATATTACTCGAGCGGTTCGTTTTTTAAGTTTACTTTTTTGCATTTCCTCATCGTCGTTGGCAGTTTCGACCTTTTTTGCAGGCGTAGCACGCTTGAAAAAGGAAGTTATGTCCTATACGAACGTGAGTACAACAAACGAGTTAACATTGAACAACTAAATGCAAAGCAATTGATATGAAACTTACCCGCTGCATTTCATTTATCACATTTATCATAAATATTCGGTTTAATTCTATTACGTTTCCACTAAAATAAATTTATTGATTTCAATATAAAAGTCCCAGAGCTTCACACCGGTGATTTACGCGCAAACTCAGAATTGACATCTGCATACAGCTGATTAAAGGGGCTGCCAAGGCAGTGAGATAAATCAAATTTTAAAGCCAACAACACATAATAGCGTGCCAGAAATTGCAATATTTTCCACTTTTCAAAGCAATTCGCTGTCACATTGAGAAAGAGAAATTTCACTTCCATGTGCCACAGCCAGAACGACCTTACTTTCCTTTCCTTTGAGGAATTAAAGTTGCATGGTGTGACCAAAGAACGTTATCTACGTTCTTTGGTGTGACTGCAACCAAAGCAAGTTTATATTGCCTTTTTATAATCAGGCAATATTAAACAAGATATTTTCACCATGGAATAAACAGGGAGTTAGGTATTTGCAAATTATTTTTATTTGCAAATAGCTTACGTATAAACGTAGTAATAGTTGCTGCAGAAACCATGAACCAATTAGAACAGATCTGACCGGTTCGGAAGCAGCCATTTGAAATAGCAATTGAGAAAAGTGTGTGACGCTCGTAATTTTGAAGTTTGCTATTTCTGTTTTGCTTCTTTCTTTATGTGTATTTTGTCGGTGGTTTATTTCAGTGATTTTTAAGTGATTTTTTGTGCAAATGTAATTAAAATGAAGTGCGCGGTGATTGGATGCAAAAACACGTACAAAAATAATAAATTGGTTAGCACAAACATGTGCACAACATTGCTTGCATTTTGTCTTTATGCTTCGTCTTCATATTCTTTGTTTACTTTTCACAGAAAATAACACGGCGCCGAAATTACAAACGTCAGCCAGAAAATTACTTTTTCTTTTGCTTCATCTTGTGTAGTTGGATCATGTGCAGAAACTTACATAAACTCATGGAGAAAAACTTTCTTGCATGAAATTATTAAAATAAATTCTTATGCATATATATCTTACCTCATTATCGAGAAGAAAAGTTTAAGCTTTTGCTTGGAATTGCTTATTCAGGTTTTCCAAGCTTCATTTTAACGATCATGCTTATTTCGCTTATTTTAATGTATAAAGCTAAGTACGGACCTTTTAAATAAGTGGTCAAGAAATAAATTCCTTTTATTGCTGTAACCTACTGAAATCCAATGGGCTACGAAACTGCATACCTAAAGTTTTTCTAAAAATTTGTAAATAAAAAGTTTAAGTTTAACAAGTCTTCGTCGGTTACTTTATTGCATATCTTCTGTAATCTTCTTGGCTCCTTTATACTCGGCCTTTTGTCCAACATAAGGCCTCATTCTCAGAAATCGAAAGGACTCGGAACTGGTGACTAGGAGGCCATTCATTCGACCAACCCCCCTATAAAGTGTAAAAATGATCTCTTATTTTTTACTTTTCGTAAAAACGACTGCGACTGCAATATGAATGAATTTCTATTTATTCTATTGTTTTTAGTTTATTCAGTTTGTAATTAGCTTTTTAAACTGATATAAAATAAAGACTGATAAAATAAACTGATCTAAAAGAAGATATTTCTTTGCTTAAAACACGAATTTATTTTTATTTCTAGTATTCACACTAACACACTATTCACATGACTACAAAACTAGTTTGTTAGCATATTTTAATTAATGGTATCTAATGATGTCCCGAAATATCCCGGGATCCCGGGATTACCAATTTAATATCCCGAAATCCCGGGATTCACAAAATGGACCGGGATTGGATGCCTTAGTCTGAACCCATGCACAAATTTTGCAAAAAAGCATAGCAAGATAAATGCGACTCTTTGCTAGTTGCTGGAATCAGTGTTGCCAGTTGAGTCGTTTTCCGGCTAGATTTAAGGTCGGTTGTTCAATGTCTGATTAACACAAAGTCAGGTTAAGTACAATGACTGCTTTATCGATCATATGTTACATGCATGATCAGTGTTCGGACTTCTACCGCATTGTAGTAGATCTGCCACTTTTTGAGCATCTACCACTCAAGGTCTGAAATCTACCACATATTCGCGTTTTTGAATACTTTTATTTTTGCTTGACATAATTTTCTTAATTTTATCCCAACACTAAACACTATATGGTAACAAGAATGAAGACAAGAAGGAAGACCCGCTTTCCCGACGACGATGAAATTTCTCAATTAAAAGTAAACAAAGCTGAATGGGAGGATAAAATAAACTGTAAAATAGTAAATTTTCTCAGTAATCAATTTTTTGACAGGAAACGCGGTTTTATTGTGATAAATTACAAAATATATGATTTGTAAAAAGAATTAATAGCGGCGATTTTTGTGAAAGTATTAGCAAATTTAAGTGCATCTAAGGTTTCTGAGGCGTTGTTTTCTTTTACTTGAGAATTGTCAAAATCGGCAAATCCCAATTAGCTGTTTCCGGAGCGTGCCACATTTGTTCCCTACATCGTGATGTGACAAAAATAAAAGCTGGCAGCACCCCGCAAGGTTGCAGAAATCTCTTTTTTGGACTACAAAACTGCATAGATACCATTTTGTAAAGATGCTGATTTAAAAGTTAAAAAATGTTGTTAAATTTCGTAATTTTTGCACAAAGTCTGGTGTTTGTTGAGAATCAGCTAAATTTTCTTAAAAACATAATAAACATTAGGGGCCGATTGTTCAATGTCTGATTAGCACTAATCGGAGGTAGAAGCTATGGTTAAATACAACGACTGCTTTATCGATCACATGTTATATGCATGATGTCGAAAACGTCGATAATGATGTTTCACCGGCAAGTTGTAATAACCAGACATTGAATAAACTAAATAAAAATAGCAAACACTTACCAAAATCGTGCGTTACATACTTATAAAATGAAGATTTGTAAAATAAATGTCTACAATAGGGTTGCCAGATTCTGAAACAGAGAAAGGAGAACATTTCTATTTTCGATAGAAAAAAAGCAGTACGAAACATAAAAAAGGAGTACAATTTTTGTTTTAATTTTTTTGTACAATTTATTCTTACAAATTACCATTAGTTAGGTACAAACAACAAAGATATCATAAAAATCTTTTTCAAAGCAACAATAAATGTTAAAAATAAA